TCTTCTCCTTCTTCTTCTTCTTCTTCTTCTTCTTCTTCTTCTTCTTCTTCTCAGGACTCGCATGTTCCTTCGTATTGACAGTCCGATAATTACTAACCATGCGAGGTTAGCTATTTGACCTCCTCTATCCAAGATCACCCGGTGGTCTTCTACAGAATCCGTAATACTGCATAATTTTATCGATTTCTTGTTCGGTTTTATATGCATAACTTCGTGCAATTATCGATTTCAGATAAACAAACCAAAAACCTAACTCCCGTCTAGTCTGTAATAGTTTTTTTTCTAAATATTTCACTCCTGTGCGTTGTCTTTGTATGTGCAGTTAGTGACCGAGCTCTTAGAATGTTAACCAAAATTAAGAAACGTGTTTTTGATTCGCTTTCTATGTCTAGATCAATCATCCGGAAGACTGGTTGGTCGCCGGAGAAGATGGCTGAGGTGCGCAGGTCCGCGCACGTGGTTCTGGCTGAGCCGACGGAATTTAAGCTGGGCAAAATGCTCTGTCGCCTGCCCGAGATCCTTCAGCGGCTAGCGACGGAGCTTCTGTTCCACAAGCTCTGTGAGTACGTCTACGAGGTGAGCTGCGCCTTCACGGACTTCTATGACGTCTGCTACTGCATCGAACAGGATCCCAAAACAGGCAAGTGTTCCCACCTTCCCCGGTATTAGTCTCGAATCTGGCAAGTTCCGTTTTATGGTCGTCCTCAAGAATCAAAAGTTCTACCTCCGCTTCGCGTCTAGCTAGCTTCCCACTTCGGGCCATTCACTTAAGCAGTATTATACTTGCCAGTAGAACATCTATGAGAGGGAGAGAGACAAAGGATCTGTAGTTACTGTAAATTGCGGCGAAAATCTAGGTCTGTTCCGCGTCCGAAACTTTAACTTAATTTACTGACGATTTTTGTGTGTTTGTAGACTCATCGTGGCGCTCCTATCTGCCAGGCCTATCCAACGGCTACACTAGCGTTCTATTCTTTCCTTCTGTTTCTCTTCTGAGTTCAGGGGGCTCATGACACTCCACCTTTGCGTTTTTGTTTTGGAGTTGCTTCCTGTGTTGTGTTTGGTTTGATTGCGCTCAGCTGAAGAGAGTTTTTCGTTTTTTTGGTTCTGTTAGCGGCACACAGACTCTAACTGATTTAAGGAGTTCTTTTAATTAGAGCATCTTGTGCTCCCGTAAATTGCATTGAGAATTTAGATAGATAAAGATATTATGCTCCGCAGTTAATCCTATCTTGATTTTTTCATCCAATCATCTAACAATGTTGCGTGCTCTTAGAGTCACTGTGGCGTTCTATCTCTCAGGTATATGCGAGGGTTGCATCAGCCTTCTGTTTTTGTTTTTGTCCAGTTACACCTCCATTGGCTGTATTTTGCGTTGTTTTGGAGTTGCTGATACTTTATCCATGTGTCAGTTATTGTGTTTGCGTCGCACGCTGTAGACGAAGGTTCTTGCGTCTTTGGTTGTTTTTTGTTTTCTGGTTGTGTTAGCAACGCAGACTGAGCATTCCTTTTAACTGTGGAGTATGAGCGTAAGATGGAACAAAACAGAGGGCTTTGCATAGATAAAAAAATGCTAAAAGACATTTAACTGTAGACTTGCTAAAGTTGTGCCTTCAGTCAGAGCTCTGAATTTAAGGATAGTTAGTTCGAACGTCGTTCTCGACGATGTCCACCGCGGTCTTTAGCAAGCTGAAGGCCCACGCGATGACTATAGGTAGATTATACTGAACGCAGACTTGCAGAGAATCTACTCCACTCTCCCATCATTCCAATACCTGTATTCGGCGTCAGGACAAGAGTCGAGAAGACCGGAGGGAGGGGGAGGGCGCAGGTGGCTGGCGCGGCCAACACGCGAATACGCGTACCAAAAGCACGCCTTGCTAGGTAGGCTCCCGCT